TCATTTAATCTCTGGGAAAGCAATACTCAATAGATTGTATCAACAATATAAATAATTTTATAATTTTCTCTAGCTATTGATGACTTTCATTAAAGGTATAGATAATGAAGATAAAATGTTAAATTATCTGTAGGCCACAGACTATAGTCTGACAGACTATAGTAATGACTTGCCATTCCAACAAGTAGGCTTATTGTCAATAATGAGAGTAAAGGGAAGTTAGGGCAGTCGACAGTTGGAAGGTCAGGGAACAACTGATGAGTCATCTCCACTTTCCTCTAAATTCCCTAAGTCTAGCAAGGGATGCAATGCTTTTATATTCCTTTTGTCTCAAAATTTCAACAGCAGTCTAATTCAAATGATCCTATTCTGGAAAGAAATTCCTAATAACTCAAATTAAATACTATCACCTCTGTGCACTCATTCACGTACTTTATATTAGAACTAATCATATAGTAGATATGTTATCTCTCTCCCTATATATGAGCACCTTAAAGGTGCTGGGTCTTTGTGCATTCACTCTGTTGAGATTATAAGTAGTTTTCTCCCTAGTAGGAACAAAAATTAAGTTCCTCATGGGGCTGGTGAAATATACATAAACCAATTCAATACAATGTGATAACAATACATTGCTATAAATGCTACAATAAAAGCCTGCATGAAGTGTGGAGAGCACAGAAAAAAGAGCATTTAAATGATCCGGAAGACAGTTAAGGGTGATTTTTAAGTAATGCCCTTTAAGATAAAAAGTTTGACAAGTGAACAAAGGGAAAAGGACAGTCCAGGACATATACAAAGGTAGATGGAATAAGAGCCTCAATGGGCAGAGAATTAGTCGTTTTGTGGGAACTGGTGGGTGAGATTGGAAAACTATGAAAGCCACAATAAAAGGCTCAAGGATACCACGCTAAAGGACTCAGATTTTATTCCTCTAGGTTGGTCCTTTTCAAACTGCAGACCATCGAGTTGTTTTCAAGAGTTGTATTTATAATAAAGACTGGACAAATAAGCCTAAATCATATGTGATACTTGTTTAAATGCCTGTAGATACTGTAAAAATATTCAAAGCTATGTATATATGATGGGAGTTAGAGTAGCTTGTCACCAATCAATAATTTTAGTAATATGGTGTGAGGATCTGAAGTATGTTAATATCAAATCTATAATTTTCAAGTGATGAGAAGTCAGAGAAACTTTTAAAAAGCTTTTATTGTTTATCATAAAACATGACACATTATGCTTCAAAACTTTAGAAAATACATAAAATTAAAAAATACCCAATATTCTTAGCACCCTGGTAAATGCTCACTTGTTTTATAAACGCCCAGCCCTTTATATGTGAAAAAATTAAAAATTTAAACATAATTGTAATTTTTCTTCCCTTGCATTTACAAATACCATTTTACTACTTACAAGACTAGAATATGGCACCTATTGCTAACCAAATTATTTACTTTCCTTTTCTCATATTTTAAAAAATATCTCCGTCATCAGAGTTAATTTTACTTTAGTTGAAATAGATCCTTTCTGCAATACGATGTAGTATGTATAAATATTGCCTTACTCTAGTGTTGTTTTTGGTAGCTTTTTTTTAAACCTCAAGAGACCTTAAAAGTTTCCTCATTCCTAAGATTCATCAAATTTGAAAATTAAACAATATTCTTTGAACTTTTATCTCTGTAGTCTATGAGGAGGAGGGGTTGGGGGGGGGACCCAACCAGTAAGACCCATCCTTGGGGCAAAATTCTCTAAAGAAAAATGTCTCATTATCCCAAATTAATCATGAATTTGTACCCCCATGCTATTTTGCAAAATCCAACTGGATTCTTCCAGAAACAAAGTTCAGATCTGGTAAAGGTTGTGGTTCTTTAAAAGTTGCAGAAAAATTTAAAGGTTGGTGTATTAAAATGCTGGCAAATTTCATTACATCTCCATCAGCCTTCTATATCCACCACCCATGAAAAGTGGCTGGTGGCTGAAATACCTTAAATCTGAAGTCAGCTCCTCATGCCTATGGGCTCCTCCTATTTTTTCTGTTTCCTTAGGAGGGAATTAGAAATGACATAAATTTCAGGCCCTACATAATCTGTATCTGCCTCTATAACCACCTATTGCCCGTCACAAAAGTTCTTTGCAGGTTAGTCATACAGGGTTGAGTAGCCATATTTCTACAATCTTTCTTTTTCATGATTTATTCAAAACACCTTTTTAGAAAATATGTCTTGCAAATCATAAAACAACAATGTCAATTATTCATCTTGAATTGTATCACCTCCACAGGTGACTCATGTTCATTCTTCTCTGTCCCCCTTCCAGTTTTTGTCCACATTTCTACATAATTTTATGTGATTGCAATTATCCTAGGGTTTAAAGAAGTTTTATATTGATAAACATGGTTCATTTTATGAAATCATATTTACAGCACCACTATCACATCCTCATGTCTTCAAAATGTGTACGATATTTCATCATAATATTTTACAGAGACAGAGTAGCAGAAAAGAAATCAAAGCCAGGCACTGCAGGGACATCTTGAGAGAATGACCAGCTGGCCATGTTCAAGAGGGTGGGTGGAGGGTGTTGAATGGTCAGGTCCACATCCAATTTGTTCAGTACTGTATGTTCTGTGCTGAGCACAGGGTCTGGCTTCCACAAAGTGCTTAAATATTGACCAAGGGGCTAATCCTGAACCTAAATAAAGCAATTTTGTCTTGATTTCTTTTAGGGGGTATTGGAACCAATCTTAGAAAATAGCAGTTAACTTGTTTGTTTTCCATTAAAATAAAACCTTGTCTCACTCATTAGTTGCTATGAAAAATCATAATTAGATCACAAAGGATCAAAAGTGTCAAAGGATGAACTATATGGGGAGTGTGTTCTTACCAATCCCTACCCCCTGTATTTTATGGATTGGGATGAATACGATGAATGGAGAAGTTCTTATACTTTTAAACAGACATGGCCATATTTTATTTTTGGAGAATTGGGAATATGGAAAAATGACAATGGAGGAAAAAAGGAATTTTGCTTAGGGAAAGCAGAAAATTATAGCTCTTTACTGCCTTACATGGTTCTGGATTGTGACATCAAGCTCTTTGCCAGAAATTGGGTTAACAGTTCTCTGAGTGTCACATTCATTCTGAAATGTTTTTAGAGGGAGAGGTCACAACAGTTTTTCCAAAGGGATGATCATTTTAGATTTCAGTTTAAGAGGCATATGCTTTTCTGTAGGACCAGAACACTAGGGACGGCTCCTTCTGGCCTGATGTAAGAAATCCATTAGTCACTTAAGTGACTTGATGTGACACATGCAAAGTCATTTAAGAATTTTGACCCTGTAAAAGAGGGCTCCAGTTTCTTTTTTGTCTTGAGGTCAATGCTACTAGAAAATAGTATTTCCTGACAAAGTTCAATTAAACAAAATTCCAGAGTTGTTTTTTCTTCAAACTAATTCTGATTAATTTCTCTCTTCATATAAAAAGATAACAAATTACATTTCAGAGAATACTGTTTAAGTTATGAGATTCCCGTCAGAGCTGTTTCGAAATACATGTTTACACAATCTAAAGTGAAGTAGGCAGTTGACTGTGAAACTGGGGCCAGCCTGGCTGCCTTTTGTGCATTTCACATTGAATTAGAGTAATATAACATTCTATTGTTTAGGTGTCAACCAGTTTTGGATTTTGTTTTGAATAACTGAATTGGGATGAGAAAACAAACCATCACCATCAAATTCTAAAAAGCAGTAAGTCAGTGTTTTGTAAAGAAAACACACAGCATTAATATTTCTTGTTCTCATTAAGAAGGTCAAACATATGGTATTTGGAATACTGATATTTAAATAAGTCAAGACTTTGGAGAGAAAATGCTACAGAATCCTTTTGTTTGTACAAAGTGTAACAAATTGTTTCCCTTATTAAACAACTGTATTTTGCTGTTCAAGAGTCACAAAAGTGAATATATAGTGTTTAAAATGCAAAGAGAACAATAATATACAGAAGTAGTTAAAACATGTTTCATAAAAGTTATTTTAGAGGAAGTTTGTCAAAATAAAAACAATTATACTTTACACGACCCTACTTGATAATGAATGCATCAAATATCTAAAATCTTACTGTTATTACGAGGAGTCTGAAAATGGGTCTTTGTGGCTTTAGCACTTACATCTTTGTTACCAACTTTCGCCGAGGTTCCCAATGCATCAAATATCTAAAATCTTACTGTTATTACGAGGAGTCTGAAAATGGGTCTTTGTGGCTTTAGCACTTACATCTTCGTTACCAACTTTCGCCGAGGTTCCCAATGGAAAGAAATCACTTTCTCTAAAATTTCATTCATGGCAGTTAACTATATACATGATTCCTTTACTAGCTCCTTTCTCCTTTAATATACAAAAGATGTCTTACACATTTTTGCTTCCTTCAAAGAACTGAACATTATCATTTACCCAATTATGTATGGAAATGAGAAAATCAACATAACATACAGAACAAAATTACTCCACGTAGAAACAAGCAAACAAAAAAGCCCCTCTTTACCTCCACATTTAGTAGCTGTATTGTACTTGTAAAACATACCTGGTATAAATCACTTCTCTTTAATAAAGTTCATTTTTTTGTTCTTTCCTCCAATATATATTTTTTGGGTGTGATAATGAAACTGATCTTGGATGAACATCCATAGGTATCAAACATCAAAGGACATTTCCTTGTCCTTTCTGAATTAATATTAGCATGCCACATATTGATCCAGAGGCTTTCTAAGGAAAACCACCCTACACAAGTCATTTTTAATTTTTTTTAAAGATTTATTTGAATACAGAACTGGAGTACAGGCCAAAGGCGCAGGGGCGGTGAAAGGATTCACCAGAGACAGAGTGGGGAGCAGAACAGGCCAACTAATGAAGTGCACTGCTGAGGGGAGCAGTGGGCGGGTCAGGGATGGTCTGCTGTACCATGTGGGTCACCTCTGGGGTGGGGGATGGAACTCATGCTGAAGTGGCTTTGGCTTCTTAGTGCTGCACTTTAACCCGCTGCACCACGAGGGAGGGCCCAATTTTTAATTTTTATAACATCCTATATTTGTGTTAAATAAGTTAAATTCAGATAAACTAGCCACACCAGAGCAAAAAAGGAAAAAAAAATTAATTAGAAAATTCAAAGAGATGATAGTAGAGAAAGTCTAACATAAATTGCAACATGACCTAAATAAGTCCATATCTCATTATTATGTGTGAACTAGGGCATTATTTGTTCACACATGAATTTTCTAGCCAAATGAAATAACAGACTAGTTATTTCAGTTCAGAATTGGTTTTCTGGAAGGAAGCAAATTCATTAAGCATAAGTCTAACACAGGATTTGATGTTCTAAATTATCAATTATTTTAAAGAAAAAGCAAATACGCATATTACTTTACAGTTTAGTAAATAAAGCATGCATTTGGATATTGGTTCAATCATTTAATGGACAAAAACTTATCAAATCATATTTTTTTCCCATGTGTCAAAACACTCACACATATTACTGGAAAAGGCAATGGGAACTCTTAAGTTCTTAAATACAAAGGACACAACTAGGGATAAGTAGGGAATTAACCTAAAAGGTCACCCAAGGTGCTTGCTCTCTAGCCTTTGATTTCTGTTTCCAGCAACAAGATTCTAAAGTCACAAAGATTCCGGGTTCCCAAGCTCAGAGACACTTTCTCCATATATTACACTTCTGTTTTTAAAAGAGGCTAACAGACAGACCAAACCAAATGGAGACTTTTCTAATTATCCTAATTTTGACCAGAAGCTTCTGCTAAACACTTTTGAGACTGTCTTCAATAATAAAATTCAAAAGGCTACTAGTGCCTATTCAGAGGTTTGGAGAGATGAAATGACATGTCTGAAACTGGCCTTAAAATATATCAGGAAAGGAAAAAAAAAAGGACAGGTAAAGCAAAGGCAGTAGTTTTATAATGACTAAATCTATAATTTTACAGTTACTTAATCTAGAGGGTAGGTTTATGTGGACTTTATTGTATTTACTCTACTTTTATGTATGTTTTAGAATTTTTACAATCAGACAGTTCATCATTGTAGGTATCAGTCTATGGTTTTGGAACTTTGCTGACGGAAATTATGGCTGTTTTAGAATTTGGACCTCTGTACTAGGTTACAACCTCAAAGGAAGGAAATTTGGCAAATGTACACTCCATCCTGGGATGTGGGATGTGTATTAACATAATAAACTTTTTCACATTAGCTTAAAATTGAGAAGTACAACTTTTCAGCTCAACACAGAGGCTATAATACATGGAAGACATGGATTTGGCAGCTACTTCAGATTTTTAGTTTGAAGGAAAAAAGAGAATGTGTATTTCAAGAATTCAGATTCCCTAATCCTTTTCTAAGATCCAAGGCGATGGATTTAACCCTCCAGCCAGCCAGATACAGAAAAAAGGGGAGAATGGGAGTTCTCCCTCTGGAGGTTATGCATCAAACACAATCTTCTCCTATGGTTAAGAGACAACTTTTCACCCCCAGAAAATATGCTTAGGAGGCTTCACTCTTCTTGGCCCCTCCTCTATCTCTTTTCTGCCCTGGAGGGCCTCATGTTTCCCTCTCTCTCTACCACGCTTCCTAAATTCTCCCTAGGTAGACCAGTCATGACATCTTAGGAAGTTGCTCAGGGATATACAAGGCAAAGGAGCTCTTTTAGCTCTGTGGGGAGAATCACTCTTGTTGTTCTGCAAAATTTGGCTGGGGAATTGTAATTTCAACCCAAGTCACTTTATTGGATTAGAAACAAAAGAGGAGTCAAACAGCAACAAACTCTGCAAGTTCATTTATTTTGTGTGATTTTCATGTCTGTGGGGCCTGCACTGACACTGTTCATTTTAAAATAGAGATTAAGGACATAGTTAATGACTCACTCTTAATGTTGAAGTCATGAAGACTTCTTTTAAAAAATGAGGTATCTGGTTTATTGTCCCAAACAGTAAAGGTTTGGGCAAACAACAGAAATGACCTAGCAAGTAATAAAATTAATACACTTAAATAAAAAACAGAAAGAGTATCTGGCAACTATTGCTGTGACACCCTGAGAATCTTTACTGTAGCCAAAATAAACCTACTCACCATATAACTCTCAAAGCAAAACTTGGCATGAGTTTTCCTAAGTTCATACATTTCTTCTTAGAAAAGACAATAAAGGTGAAGAACTGGGTGAGCATGAAAAGGCAGAGACAAAGATCATTCTTATTGCCCCTTTCTACTCGAGAAATTTCCTATTAATAGACCATTATTTCCCTCCTTTAAAATTATCTTAAGAAAACATTTGGAATTACAGAAACAACAGCATTTACAAGTGCATTTATGGGGAACTTTGTCAAAGTTGAAAACATCTTGAAAGATTTTTAAAAGATAGTGAGATTATCACATGAAAAACTGAACAATCAGGTTAGCGAGGCCCAAAATGATGATGAAAACATGAAAGATTAATTTAGGCCATGTCAGACGCTCTTCTCGGTGGAGAGAAATTATATAGATGAGAGATGGATATATGAATACAAAGGCCAGGCCACATGCTGCTCCCGAATATCTGCAAAATAAAAGCTTTTTGGGTTAATATTCATCTTGCATTTTCTTTTCTCTAATCTACAATTAAGATACAACTTAAACACTTCTTGGTCTGATATTGCAAGAAAATTACTTTTGATTCATTCAATGTTGACATAAAGCATTTAAACTTAAAACTTATTTTACTTCCTAAATTAATATAAAACATTATTTCCTGTTCAACTCTGTAGCTTCAGCTTGACAAAGAGTTTTTTATTCATCTCTCAAATCACCATAGTTCCTCTTATCTCAGCAATGGGGAGTATTTCCTCAGAAACATCTGGAAATGGGTTTCCTATTTTTACTCTTTTATAAACTAATTACACACTTTGAGTTTTTGGACTGCTAGCATCTGCTTAAGAAAGAGAACCGATAAAAGTGCCTCAGCACAACTATACCAGAGATACCTAAACTTGAGATTAACAGGAAAATGTACCCATTTTTCCCTTTTACTATATTCAACAGGAATTTGTTATAGTAATAAGCTTCAGATAAATAATCTTCAGCTTGTCTCATTACTTTCTTGATTAAGGGTCTTCAAAAATGTTGTAGGTTAATGAAATCAGATCATTCTAAACCATAGTCTTACATGAGAACCTGAGATCACAATTTTATTTCCAACTTACTAAACTTATTGTAACATTTTAGGGAAACAATATCAAGACAAGAGTTATCTGGTATTTAAATTATAAATTAAACTTATTTCCTAAATATAGTTGACATTGAAATATGTTCTTGAGTAGAAATGGATTAAGAAAATTAACATAGCTTTGACATTTAAGGTATCTCCCAGGTATGAGTCATAAATACTCAAAACAACTGAAAGAGTATTTGTTTTATTTTTATTGAAGTAACACTGAATCATAACATTCTATAAGTTTCAGGTATGCATCATTGACAATCAACATGTGTATATTTAGGCTCATTGCTAAATGACCTATTCCATCCTTTACCAAAACATTACCCTTTTCCGAATTTACCCATCTTTTCTATTAGCCTCTCCCTTTTGCTAATCACTAATGTGCTCTATCTTTTGCTCCATAGCAAAAGATTAATTTTGCTTTTTTAAAAAAAACTTATGGATCAAGAGAAAGAAACAGTGAAATATGATGAACAATGAAAGAGGAAAGGAAAGGAGCCTAAGGATAATGGGACTTCTGCAATCAGGAATAAGCAGAAACGGAAAATAATGAGCACCCTAACAAAATATGAGGGGATGACAATTCAATGTTACCATTTTTAAATACTCATAGGAATTTCAAACAATTAACAAACAACAGGAAAAGCATAAGAATAAAGACCAACATAAGTAGGGGAAAAGTTCCCTCATAGGCAGTACCTTATAATTCCTCCTATGTTAGGGTAGAAACAGGCCATGATCACACCAGCTCCCACAATACATAGATTAAGAATCAGCACGTGGAAAATGCTACATGGGAGTTGAGAGAGTTTAAAAGAATGAAAAAATATGAAAACAGGCAAATTACAACCATTAATGTGAATACAAAATTATTAACATCTTTAAAATGAGAATGTCTTAGACTTGACAAAAATAAAGAAAACTACTCCATACAGGTAATGAGATAGTGATATTGGCGATTTGGTGCAATACATAAATAGGTTAATTTTTTAGGAACAAAATGTCAGTATGTGTGAATTTGGATTCATAATTCCATTTGAAATAATCAAGAAAACAAAACCATGAAAAAAGCTATCAATATAAAGATATTTATAGAAAACCAAAAACATGCTAGCTATACCAATTTGATTAATGGAATATATTAAAAGCTATTAAAGACATTAGAAGGGAATATACTCAATAAACAGTAAAGAGTATGTTAATGATTTGGGATTTTGAATATTTTTCTTCTTTTCTGTATTTAGCAAATCTATAATTTACAATGATACATTTTTGTAAAGTGCTTGTTTCACTTTTATAACTAGAAAAATAAAATTTTATTTAGGGAAAGGCTAATGGGTTCAGACTCTTAAAGCTATTAAATATTGAACATGAATAAAGAATCTTCTAAATATTGAATTAGATGGTAACAATTCAAAATTTGGGAATCAATTTTGGCCACAAAACAAAATAATGTGGATGAAATTTGATACTGGAGAAATGGCTCCATTTTCTCCAAAATGATTTTCAAAAGCTATATTCATACCTCAAAACAACCTTTTGAGCCCAAAATTGTAACAGTGTAATTGATTCCAGATAAAGATTATAGAGAAAAGAAAAAACAAGAGCAATTACTTATATAACTAAGTGGTTATTTATTATTGGGCCTGCTGAACTACAAACATACTCAGGCTTCCAAACTACTTATCCAGAAACTTCAACTTTAAAATCCTTTCAGCTTTGAGTCACTGGCTGGGCCTTTCTTATTTCTATATTGTAAAAGGAAACAATTTAGTGTGTTTTTGAAAGTGTTGGGTCTTAAGCCCTAGGGAGTTTTTAATAACCCTTCAGGAAGTCTCTGAGGTAAAAATTATTTTCGTATTTATGTAAGACATTACTGTGTTACAAAAGTTCACCATTAAGACTTTTGGTCTCTTAGCATAGATACAGTCTGGCACTTATTTGTGTGGCATTACAAAGTTTTTACTGCCAAAGACTAAAAAAGAAAACATATCAAACCATTAAAAACTGTCCTTGATATAGGAATAAAATTAGTTATTAAATCCAGTGCATTGAGCATACATCTTTTTAATATTCTGTGTGATCAAACTGAGTATAGATTAAAGCAGAGGAGCTGCATACTGAAGCAAAATGTTGGCTTGAAGACAAGTACTTGAGCAACTGAGCAGAAGGGCAACCTAGCCATTCTTTTCTCAAAGGAATGCCATTTTTACTTGAAAGGCAGGCAAACTGCCGTCATTCCAGCTACATTATTTGAGTCATTTTCTTGAAAACTAATGAGATATGAATTTATATATGTTGCCAATGATAAAATTTGAACTTTCAAGTAAAAATTAGAATTTTGTAAAGTTTGTATTTCCTACCCTGAGGTTTATGGTTTTTGAATATTTAAAGACTTTCATAATGAAACCAGTTCAATATTAGGAAGATCTGCAGAACCCATTTTCTAAATGACTAAACACTGCTGCAAAATCATACATGGGTGAAAGATCCAACCTATAAGGCAGACCAGTGGGTTTTAATGTAACCAAATTTCACATTTAACCAATTTTTAGTTTTTGACATCATACCAAAGAAGAATAGCCACAATTATGGGAAAAGCCTATTAAAATCACTTATTTTTTTTTCCAATTCTGTGTCTGTGTGAAGGTAGACTTTCTTCATATATTTAAACAAAATCAACATATTCCAACATACAGAATATATAGAAGATAGGATAAATCAATCATCTATTAATACTAGTAAATCAGTAAAGAAAAAGAAAAACAAATGTTTGGAGTGAATAGTTATTTTTCATAAGTGCTATTTATGTCTTATTGCTTTTTAAAGATATTAACAAGTACTTAAAAATTTTGTTTTAATTTTTCCTTTGCCAAATACTGATAGATATCATCCATAAAAACTGAAGTTCCAGAGGGATGGGGGAGACCATACATAAACTTTAGGAGTATAAAGGGTGTCAAGAGACCTCAAGTATATTCAAAAGTACACAGGCTATCCAGTACTTATAAATGTAGGGTACATTATGTTCTTGGTAGTAGGGGAAGAAACATCATATGAATACAAAAGGGAAATTGCAAACTTTTTTCAAGAAGAAAACATTCTGATAGTCAACATTATACAAAATAATGATAGAAAACAGAAATAAAGCATTTACCTAGATTTTTTTTTTTTATCTATGACTTCACTGTCTTTATTTTATTTTGGTGAACATAAATATAGCACAGGGTATAAACACAACAGGAATCTTCAATTTCCTAAAATACAATCTCCTAGATGAGCAATGCTGAAAGTGTAGCTGTTACTACTGTCAACATTAAAGACCTGGTTACTTTTCACTTAAGCTTTTGAAAGATTTTTATTTCTAAAACATGCTTATAGCTATTTATTTAATGAAGGGGACAATACTCTATCAGATCACTTTAAAGAAGAACTGATTAAGACCATTTACTTGGTTAATAAAAACACAATTTCTTTCAAATTTTATCTAAAAATTGTCTTCATTTAAAATAATTTATTCTCAACAGAGAATAAGGCAAGGTTTAGGTATTTCTTGTTTATATGAACCTATAATAGCACTTGATGTAAGATAAGGAGTCGAAAGGAGGTTTCAAGGAAAATCTGAAGTAGTAAATGGAAATACCTCTTAGATGAGTTTGCCTAGCTTTGAACAGATTTTCAAAAAGAATTTATGACCTCTGATATCTCTCCTGTACATTTGTTTGAATTGTTTAATTCAAAACAGTGTAAATATGCATAAATGTTTATAAATATACAAGTAAACATACAAGTAAAACCAATAATAAAAATAAAAGATTTGCTTCTCATTAGGCATATACTGCTACACAAGTACTACATATTATTAACTTCTTGGCAACAGTAGATTAAGAGCAACCAAATCGTAAGATAAATATAACTGATATGATTTAATATAACTCTACTGGAAGGAATTAACTTTAAATCATTCCGGACAAGGGAGTGGCTTCTATTTTTAATGATCTTTGGGGAAAAGAAGGCCAACATCCTATCCTTAGTAACCAATTGCATTAGGCAAATTTTTAGCAAAAGGATCAGTCACATTTTAAACTGACCTGTTTGCACAGTCATTTGTTGCGTTGCACATCTTGCTGGTCAAGAGTAGAACCCTTACCTAGGATAAATGTCACCGAAGATATGACCCAATAGCTGGACACGAGCCAAGTAGCCTAAGAGTGGGTATACAGTCATCATCTGGAACAGCAGGAATATCCTTGCAATGAAGGACAGGATGTCACTGCTAGGGAAGTTGTCTAAAAAATTCTAATCCAAGAAAAATAATGAAGTAATGTTAAAAATCAGATTCAGTATATGTGAATTTATAAAATGGAATGTTTTTTACTTATTTTGAACATATGTGCTATTCAAATTGTGGATTGGGGCTGGTATCCTTCCACAAACTGTTAACTCTTCTTAAATGAGGTACGCACAGCAATTGAAAATGTTTTAAGAGATTTTTATAGAGATCTGACATTGCCATGGTTTTATTCTATTTTGCAAAAGTATCAATCTGCAGGTGATTCAACAAAACACAGAAAGCCTTGTCCTCCACCAGATAGTCTGTGAAGCATTGCTATGTAAGGTTCAATGATATGTCTGTTTTACTATAAATGGCTAATTTAATTAAATGTTGCTTGATTCTCACTAGCTTCCTTGCTTTTCTTCCGCTGTAGCATTATAACCTTTCAAAGTAAACACAGTATCATTATTATTTACAGTCTGTCACTTCCTAGAAAAGGATTCATTTCCATCTCCTCACTTGACTGCTTTCTCCATTTTAATTTGGCATCTTAAAAAAAATTTAATCTCTGAATTTTTTTTTTGCATTTCAAACACAAACACCACAGATATTCCTATTCCCAAGGAAATGGGTTTTATATGGGATTGCTCACATCAGGGGAATTTTCAGAAAACATTTGGCTGCCAAAGAACTTCTGGAATCAAGGAAACCAAAAATATTTCAAATGATCGTAACAGCAATAACTCAAACCTATTTCTCTTATAAAAATGAGAAAATTAGTAACACTAAAATGCTGAAGCACATATTATAATTCATCTGTAATAAATCACACCATATATTCAAATATACTTGATCTAGAGGAATTTCCTTTGATTATAGAGAGTCACCCAAGATGGCTATTTTGTATGAGATTCTTCAGTCACATTAAACTAGAGACCTCACTATTCCTAAATTTGTGAGGGGTCAACCCAAGGAAAATATTACTTATGGCATCCTTGTAGTAAAAGAATTTTTATATTCTCCCTCAATCAGCCAATCTTTTCTTTTTTTCATGCTGCCTTAGAGTATCAAGATGAGGGTTAGATCTATCAGTGGGGATGAACAAATAAACCAGTTTATCCAGGACATTTCCAGAATTAGACTTAGGAAAACATGGGAATTGAATATTTTCTCAGTGGAGGTTTTATAAACTCATGACTACTTCTACTAATAGTTCTAGACACAAAGATAAATACCATGAACATAATAAGAATTGTGTCTTTGAGCACCACAGGTGCCAGCAAGGGTCCATCTAAAAATCTATGGCATATATATCACTAAAAATCTATGGCATATATATCACACTGTGTGGGTCGGCTAATCCAAAGCAGCCTATCCAGCCTCCATTTTATTACCTACAGTTCTGTATTCCTAAAGCAAGGTGAGAATTGTTCTGCCATAGGAGCCCAACCTTACAAGGTGACTTTCCAATCAACTAAGCTAGATCACTCTGGGAAGGATGTGCATCAAGAGGTCTGACTAGGAATGCCAGGGGGCTGATGACAGATGCATAAACTTACTCCTGACTTATACATCATGAGGTATGATGGGCATGCCTGAGGGGCCGCTGATTGATATATAAGGAAGGATCCCAGAAGCTCATCAGTGGGATGTGTTATTGATAAGATTAAAACCTGACTGGGGAATCGGGCTTGATCTACATACCAAGCTATCAGCAGATGAGAAATATAATTCCACCCTTCCCCTGCTTCTTCTACTTCTCCTTCTCTTTTTCTACTTCCTCATATGACTAATGCCATATGACTGGTTTATCAATAAAAAGGCCAGCATCTTGCTCTTGAGCTGCATCCTGCATTATGGAGCCTGTTCCACGACTCCCGTTTCTTTATGGTGGTGTTGCCTGATGCAACAATAACCGTCTAATGGAAGAGAAAACTGAAGTTCAGAAAGGGTGGGGAAAGGACCTTAATTTCCACATGTAGAGTAAATGGGTCTCAAATCCAAGCCTGTCTAATTTTATATCTTGCTACTGATGTCACAATCACAGAAAGAGAGAACTTAGTACCTTACCTGTTCTATGCAGTCTTTGGATAATGGTGGTGAAGGAAATGAAGCAAAAACCAGTACTCCAATATAGAGATAAGTTAATGTCACCAGCATATAAGCAATAGACAAGTCTCTGACCTGTAAATAAAATTCCCACAATACTAAGTGAATTTGCAGTAAACAAATTTGCCTGCACAGGCAAATATGAAAATTGACTAATAAATACAAGACTTGTGTTTTGTGTGTGTATACTTACTTCCCTGGTAACTATCTGTTCACAGAAAGTAGTTAGAATTAAATCAATATACTTTATAATTAGTTTGACAATCTGACAATATTCTTTTACCCATCAGAACTATGTAAACTAAGCTATCTGGTAACAGAATTAGAAAGTTGACATAAATAGCACTCAAACATGATTGATATTCTGACTTAATTCAAGATACTTAATTTACAAAATTATAAAATATTTATTCAAAATAATAAAACTAACACCTACAAGAAAGCAAGAATAGGCTACCTTCAGTATGATCTACAGAATAAAAAAATAATCTTGTAGTAAGTTAACTTGTTAAATCATCAAAGCATGCCTAAACTGGTACATGTTAAAATATATTTAATAAAGAAGAAAACCTAGTTAAAGAGCAAAGAGTATTAAAATAAGCTTAATAAACCTGAACAGTAAACTAAAGGAAATCAAAAGGCAGCTTTTCCAAACAGCTGCATAATGTTATTATTGGAATCAGTAAACAAATACAGGACATTAAATAAAGTGAACTGCTTTCTTCCATCCTCCCAACCTCCCATTTCATGCAAAGTAAAATGCTCCAAGATATTTAATGCAGCCAGCTGTTAGATCCAAACAGTACAGATCCCAAAGCCCACAAATCTGGTTCCCATCACCACTAAGGTTACGGTCAAATAATTCAGCACAACTAAATTATGGCAAGAAGCCATAAAAATTTTCATTTTATACATAAATTACTTTGAAAGCTAAGAAAACAGTTAAGAAAAGCATTACATACAATTTTAGTTTAGTTTGATAACAATAAGAAAACTAGACATTTGGTATTAGGTAACATTTCATAATTCATTAAATGGGCTAAAACATTCAGGAAAAATTATAACTTGTATGTTGATAAATTCACTTTAAAAACAAGTAACAAGCTATGACCTAAAGTCAGATCTAAGCTGACAAGCAGCTTGAAAATAAATCAGGGAGCCCATATCCTAAATTAGATGGTGGTGATAACTATGGAGTTAGGGGAACCTGGATTATGCAGAGTGGTTCCATTCCTCTCAAAGAGCTTCCAATTGTTTAGGATTAAGCAAGAAGAGACTGAGCATGGGAGGGCGAAAGGAGGGAAAGGAAAGGAAGGGTTCACAAAATCTTTGCTCTAGGACCCAGTTCTAGCTAGACTTCTGTTACCCATCCTACTTCAGGTCTTGTGTAGGATAACCAGAAATGAACCAGGCAACTCACATTTTCATATCAAAGGGTAGCACTCTTCTCATGATGTTCAAAAGTCATTCTACCCTCAACTTATTCAACGTTACTCAAGAACAGAGGTAGCTCTACAAAATGTAAAATCTTGGAAGCCAAACAGCTGTGTCAGAGAGGGAGAGCTAACATTTCATGGATAGCCTTTGGCCTACAGACCATCTGATGACCACATTATAGGCTTCCTGCTAAGATGTGGACCTTGTCAAACTCTGGGGAAGATCTAATGAAGATGCAACAGCTAAGATACAAAGGCTTTCCAATGAGATAGTGTTCTTTTGATGCTTCCCTCTTCTTACTCACTGTATACATATCTCAAAAGCAGTACTGTTAATTAGTTGCCAAGGTTAATTGTTCTTGCATGGTGTTGGTAGTTAATTGTTTTGTTTTGAGTAGGAAAAGAGCTTTCATGTGATAAGGGGAGAGGGGAGGAGAACAGAATGTAGATCTTCACTGGACATTGTCTGTAACACTCCTGTGCTTGACTTCTGGTCTCATTTGGGAGGAAGGACAGTAAAAGAACCTCTATGTGCAGCAAATGAAAAAGTCATGTCCCATGTCCTCTTCTGACTTCTCTGACTCCTCCCCTTCTGGTCTTTCTCCTCCACAACAATTGGGGAGGAACCAGGAGCAAGCATCTCGGATCCTGGGGCAGCAGAGCCGGCTACAGTTCCACTGGCTGGTAGGCTGGCCAGCTTGCAGATACTCTGGGTGATGACTTCTTCAATGTTTTTTTCATTCAGCTCACTGCTGATATTATTGAGCCCGGTCATTGTCTACCTCAATGCCCAGGCTGTTCAGGATCTCCTTGATGTCCTTGGTGCTGGGTAAGGTACTAACCCTGAGGGTGTTTGGCAAGTAGGGGCAACATAGTACATCTCGGAGGTGGCTGAGAAGCCTGGTGTGTGCAACCTGGCTAGTGTTAACGGAAAGTGTATTTTCATTTTTCTATATCCGAATTGGACCATAACATTAAACTATGAGAATCCTAATGACAGGGAATATGTCTTTTCTATCTTTCTGTCCCCAATTACCAGATAACAGCTTACAAACAGTAGGGACTCAGTAAATATAGATTAAAAAATAATAACCACATTGCCTGTAATTAGTAATTTCTTCTAAGTGTTAGGTACTGTGCTAATAAGCACATAACATGTATTATCTTAGGTTAGCATAATCATTTTCTTCATCTTATAAATGTTACAGCAAAGTTATAAAGCTCACTTATGGCTACCAAGTAAGTAGCTGGTGAAGTCAATATTCAAGCCAAAGTCCTTCAGACTCCAAACTGCATGCCTTAGCTACTATAATGGAGAGCTGACCAGTCTCTAATGCATTTTGTGTAACAATTAATAAACAAAAGCAAAATTGATGAAACAGAATTTATAAGTGAGAAAGGATACAAGAAAGCATAAATACAGATGATTTAAGAGAAATACTAAAATCAGGTAAGTCCTATTTCACAGCAGTCGAAATGTGTACTTAGTAGAACTAGGTCAAGAGTTACATATCTGATTTCATATGAAAATACTCTAATGAACAGAAATGATGTTTTAATATAAAAAGCAGCTGAGGTTAAATAAGCATGATGCTGGGAAACAAACCACCTATGAATAGTAGGAACACATGTGGATTTCACTGTTCTCTGAATTGAACCCAAGCCATCACTGTATTAGAACTAGAGATTATAGCCTCTTAAAAGTCCATTTAATTATATACAACTATATAGTAATTAAAATGTGAAATATTTTAATATTTTTAAAAATCTAATGGAAAAGGGCAGAAATAAGCTATTAAAAAATGAGGCTCAAAGTAAAAAACATATTTTAAAAGAGGCCCTGGTAATGTGTCAAGATTCCTATAACCCTCTCTGCCTTGTGAATAAGCAAGAGCTGGTAGGGTTGCCAGGAGGTAGCTAATGACAGGAAGAATGCTAACTCAGAATAAGGACTGGGTTTACAAATGGGGCACAAGTATGGAAGCTCAGTCTGTTTCTCAAGTAAAGTTTATAACTTATTCCATGTACCATTCACAGTGAAAACACAGTGAGGCATTCACATGATAGAAACTGACCACACCAACCTACTCCAAACATTCACATAAAAACTGCTGATATATAGTTCAGTATTAACTACATAGATTTATATGCAGAAGCAAAAAGGAAATAAATGAAGCTATAAGGCATCTCAAATCATTTTCAAAGAACTAAGTAGGGCACAAAACTAAAGGCAGGCAAAATAAAACAGAAAAAGCACTGGATAGGTTCTGATTCAAACATGATGAGGAAATAACAAGAGGTAAGTCCACACATTCAGGATAGATACAGAGATATATTGTGACGATAAAAGCTGGATGATCTTCAACTCTAAACTTTTTTCTCCTTTTGGTAAATTATGCTTACAAAGAAATCTGACAATGTTTATCCTTTCAGTTGTAGTATTAGATTATTTATATTTTGCAATTTCCAGTATGACTGAGCTTAAGCTTATTATCTTGCTGGCTACTTTTCCCATCTATTCTGTGTTTCTTTTTTCCTGTCTTCTTTTAGCTCTCTTGCATATTTTTAAAGACACTTAATGCCACTATTGGCTATTAGCTATACTCTGTGTTTTTAGTGACAGTTTTATGGTAGATGTTGGCAACCTATGGTATATGCATAACATCTGGTCCACTACATTTGTAAATAAAGTTTTACTGATACACTGTCATCACCCATTTGATTACATACAATCTATAACTGCTTTCTTACCAACCACATCGTAAGTACACAAGAGCAGAACTGAGTAATTTCAAAGACCATGTGGTTCAGTCCACACATCCTAAAATGTTTTCCATTGAGCTTTTACAGTGGAAAAGATATGCTAACCAAGGCACTATGGTTTTAACATAATAAATTAAGATCCAAAAGTAAAGTTCTCACATAATTACTTACATTGTTTTCTTGATTCTTGTTGTTTTTCAAGAGGGTGATAATACAATTATGAATAAAGAAAGCAAGGGTAAGCACTCCAGTCAGCTGTGGAAACTGAAATCTTATCTCTAGGAGAAAAAGGGGAGGGGGGGGAGGGACACATTAAACCTGACAATTTGAAAATGAGAATTAGAAGCCAAACTGAGTAGTAAAAATCAGTTATGTCTGTTTTGTCCAGGGGTTAAGAATATTAAAATGTCTTTTTATCAAGCTCCTAAAGGTTCTTGGAAAAAATTAAAAACTTCCAGTTATAATAAAATAAGCCATGGATATAAACTACAACATGGTGACTATAGCTAATAACATTGTATTTGAAAGTTGCTAAGAGAATAGATTTTAAAAGTTCTCATCACAGGAAAAAATTTAAATTACATGTGGTAATGGATGTTAACTAGGCTTATTGGAGTGATCATTCCAAAATACATACAAAAATTAGAGTTGCTGTTTTCTAAGATAGCGAGATACCTATCTCGCTGGGAGATACCTGGGAGGAAAGTATGTTAAGTAAGCTGATGGGGTGTGGGTAAATGAAGAAGGAAATTATTGTTTGGTTTCTGTCTATTTAAATTTGAGTACTTAGTGGACATCCAAAGTGGAGATGTAAGAAACAGATAGATATATGGTATGGATTTCAGTGGGGGAGATCTGAGCCAGATTTTTAAAATTAGGACTAGTGACCATAAGGACAACATGCCATATCAAATGGTTAGATGACATTACTTAGGGCCTGAGGACAAAGAGAAAAGAGCTTGTGTCTTGAATCCTGGATGATCTCATCAGTTAGAGGTCAGAAATAGGAGAGGGGCAGTTATATAGAAGAATCAAGAAAGAATGGAATTTAGAAGTAAACAAAGTATCTTAAGATGGAAGGAGTGATCAAATGTGATCATATTTTTGATAGTTTGATAAGAGGTGTGAGAATTGTTTATCTGATTTGGTAAGATAAAGCCACTGGTCATTCATGGAGTGACTGGAGCAAAAGCCTGACAGAACTGAGTTTAAGACAAATGCAAAGAGAAGTGGGGACAGTGAGCATAGACTTTCAAATAATTTTGTTTTAAAGGGAAGTAATAACTAGAAGAGAATGTAGCATCAAATGATGTTTGTTTCTAGACTAGAAGATAGGTTTGTATACAGGTAGGAATAGTTAAGGAAAAATTTGATGATATGAGATTAAGAAAAATGAGGAATGAATATAAAAGAAAAATCCAGAGTAGGAAGTCAAGGGTAGGATGAAATCTTTAAGTAGATTTTTCCTCCATTAGCTTTCTAATTACATAGGGGAAGGAAGGTGATGGGATCCACTGCACTGAAAAAGAAATTTTTAGATATAAAAGTACATAAATAAAGTCTGAGTCAGAACTACAGTTTTATGTGCATCCTTCATCAGGATAGTGAAGATTCAAACCCTCTAAAGTTCTTTCATTTTAATTAGCTTGTATTGAAAAAGATTTCTGACATTTTTTATTCTTGAGAAATCCTTCAATCACAATACAGCAATTCATTTCAGGATGAAGAATATCAACATAAACCTCTTTTAGTCATGATTCTCCCTTCGTATTATTTAGAAATTGGGTAAAATGATTTAATATCTATTTAAGTACATTACTCTATCTTCTAAACAACTTTTATCTTTCCCCTTTTCTTATATCTATCTTTAATATCCTATCAGCATAAATTTTATCAGTGGGACTCAATATAAATCACAGTGGATCTAATTTTAGAAATAATATTCTCATCTATTTTTACTAGTGAATGAAAGAACTAGCTTAAAGTAGCCATTTTTACTAGTGTCTAATTTTAAATACAATCTGAGTTGAAGGATGCCTTTCAAAATCCAGTACTTCCTTTACCCGGAATTTACACTGACTTTTTTAGTCTTTGTGTGTTTCCAAAAGAAATGAAAACCCAAAGCTACAATAGTCAAATTATGTGGAAACAGGTAACCATGACAATACAAAGGACTTTATCCAATAACCACTAACTCAATCTACCTTAAAAAATTAGGGACTACTATAACAAAATAAACAAAAGAGGCAGAAGACAACTATAGTTGCAGATGTCAGAGCTTAACACCAGAGTAGAGACAAATTTCTAGACTGCCCAATCTACAGTAGAAAAAATGAAAAGAAAGTAATGTTTCTAAATAAAACCTGAATTTTATATTACTTCCTTCTTAGCTTTCACATTAGTGTAATAATCACTTCCATTTTCTAATCTGTTGTCTCACTTAGAATTATTCATTCATTGGGTCATGGTGCTTTTAACATGTTTAAAATCTCAAAATTGGTGTGAAACTGAAGAAGTTTCAACGCTACTACATGAGAAAAAAAGTGTGGAAAAATTTAATTAGCATGTTTGCATGGAAAAAAGCAAAGAAAAGAAAGGGAGAGGATGATATTAATGAGTAGTATTATCCACATATATTAATAATTGATCATGCTGTATGTCTCAGGAAACTCCAGGGGTATGTTTTCTCAAAAAATCTAGAGTGAGTTTTTGAATTTTCCATTACACTGTTACACCACTGAGTTTCAGTTTCAAGTAAAAATGACAGAGCCCTATTTACCCCTAACTGCAAGAAAACCAAAGTAATTTCAACTGATATCCTGCAATAGCATGAATAAAAATATTCAGCATAAAAAATACCATTACTTGTTTTAGCATAGCAACAGTTAACACTACTTAATTTTAAAGGTTATTATAATTTACTAACTCTTTATTTGGTCAAAACAACTCACCTGGTACAAAAAATTCTGTTGGCTCAAACCAGTGAAATTCCAAATGAAATCCCAACTGACTAGCCTTCAAGGTAACAAGGAAAATCAAATAGAGAACAGACACTGTGCCTGAAAAAAAAAAAAATCAAAAACTATTTATCATCTTTGTATGGTTTACAATTTTAAAATCAATCTCTGTTGCCATAGTCATAGCAAAATTTGAGATTATTACCTTCATTATCTCTACCAAAACCAAGGTTCTAAAGAACAGAAATAAGCTGCGTGTTATCAGACAAAAAGGCAAAAACAAACAAACAAAAAAACAACTACATAATAGGCTTAAGAAGAACCAGATGAAGGTAGCTCATAAATTATTGAAAGTAAAACTGCTTAACTGACTTATAAACTGAGTTTAGCAGAGAACACATGCTGAAAATCCACTATAAAATTGTAAGGTTCTATAAGAGAAAACGAAAACAAAACAACATGAAATTTATTCTTTTGTGTTTGAAGTATAGAGATGGCCAATAAGTGGGGAAAGGGCTGAAATATTTAATGTACGATTATAAGCAAGTAAAGAAAGAAAAGCAGTAGTTGTGGATCATAAACCTGATTGAGAAAGGCCATAAAGAAAATAATCCATAATAATATGGTCTAGCATCTAGAGGGTTTTTGACTAGGTGGAACTACTTAATAATGGAAAAATTCCAAATTCTACTCAGAGGCATTATATATAGATCAAAATATAACATTCAGAAATTTTTAGTAGTCTAATACACAATAGCTATGATATGGAAACAACCCAAGTGTCCAATGAGAAATGAGTTAGATAAAAAAAGATGTTGGTATACATACACAATGGAACATTACTTCCATAGAAAAGGATGAAATTGTGCTATTTGAGACAATATAGGCTGATCTGAAGAGGATTAAGTGAAGGGAAGTAAGTCTGAAGGAGAAAGACAAATACCATATAACTTTACTTGTTTTTAGAGTATAACAAAAAATAAGTCTGGAAGACTCTGACAATAGAAAGGAATCAGCAGAGAGAGAGACCAAATTGGTTGGTTGTGTATAGTGACTGGACAATTGGTGGCAGAAGTGAGAAAATGTAATCTTGGAACATATACAGTGTAGTAAACTAATGTTACCTTAATCAAAAAGAGTGAAAGACTTTTTAGTACTCTAGAAGTTAGAGGAGTAGTACATTTAAGGAATTAAATCCAGTCATTCTGGAACAGAGTTAGGAAATCCAGGAAAATGTCTAGGGTAATTAGATGCAAATGCCTCTAAAGAGCTGTAATTTTAAAAGAAAGGGAAAGCATCAAGCAAAAGAAAAAAACAGAATATAGTTAAGGAGATAGAGAATAATCAACCTGGTTAGAAGTTTGGTGATTTCTTGCCTGACTGGATAAATCCTTCTGTAAATTTATAAACTAACTTTTTAAGGGCTATTATGTAAGAAAGCCAGCAAACATATTAGGAAACCACAAATGAGCTATATAAGCTCTACTGTGGATTTAGAGATTAACAAACTCAGAAAGCATGAAATAAGTGGCCAAAGTCAATATAACCACCACTCCATTTCCTCTATTTATCTGTGGCAGTCTTACAGTGAATCCTGTCACTAAGTGGAAAGGTATAGAGAAATACCAGAATCCCTTTGTCTCCATGATGGATTTGTTCTTAAACCACCTCCCCACACCAATCTTCTCCTCTATGTGGACACCAAAGTCTATAGATGCTTAAGTATCTTATATAAAATAGTGCAATATTTGCATATAAAATTACACACATCCTCCCATATACTTTAAGTTACTGCTAGATTGTTTATAATGCCTAGTACAATGTAAATGCTATGTAGTTGTCATACTATATTGCAGAATGATGACAAAAAAGTATGTATGTTCAGAACAGACACACCTATTATAGCCCTAACCACACAGTGTGCATTTTCCATCTGTAGTTGGTTCAATCTACTTATGTGGAATCTGCAAATACAGAAAGCCAACTGTGTCCTTACCTTTTCCTTTGATCTTCTGAAAACCCAATGCCACCTCCTTGATGTGATGAATAACCTAATTATTTTATATTCTTGGCTGCCTACCAAGAGGTTATATCTACAGGGAAGAGTAAAAATCCTATGTTGGATATGGGGTTATTAATATTTTTAAAGATTCATATATTTATGTATGCATAGAAGAACTGGGGTAGAGGCCAGAGGTATTGAGGTAGAGGCCAGAGATACTGAGGCCAGAGGTACTGGGGGAGGATTTACCAGAGACAGAGTGAGGAACAAAACAGGCAAATCTACTGAAATACACGGCTGAGAGAAGCAGCAGACAAGACAGGAAGAGGTCTGCTGTACCACATGTGGGTCAGCTCCTTGAAAGGACTGGACTCAGGCTGTAGTGCAATAGGGCTGAGACTCAACTCCTAGGCCAGAGGAAGGCCCTTGGGGCTGTTAGATTTTATGAATGACATCCTTGTCTCTAGTTAACTAAATCTGGGTGTTCACTAGGGGTTCCTTTTGTCATTTTAAGGCTCAGTGTTGTAAAAAGAAGATAGGATCAAAACAATCCTTTAGTGATTGGGAAATTTTTGAAAAACAGGTCTCACAGAAAGAAATATGTTCTTTTAAGTTGACAATAGTGTTCTAAGAAAGAAAAATACACCGAGGAAGAGAATGAAAGTAAGGTAAACCTAAGGAGCTTGACCTAGGGAATGATACCCCAGGTTGAGTGTCAAATTTCCATTCTGTGGGGTAAGAAAGAACCCATAGTCTCCTCTAGTAAGTTGTAATGTTTCCTTCCAGTCCTCAGAATTGAGAGCTCCTATGATATCCAATTTGGATCACTCCTGAAATTTTAGTCTATTTTCTCTAGTTGTGTCCTTAGGGGAAATGAAGAAGAGATTTAGTAACAATAGAGTGGGAAACCCAATACTCTTATATGAAAAGCAAAAGGGAGTTGAACTTGAAATGGTTATTCTTGTCTGTAATAAACTTTATTTATTCATTTTAAAATATTTATGTATGCATACAGAACTGGGGTACAGGTCAGAGGTGTAGGGGCAGTGAGAGGCTTTACCAGAGACAGAGCTGGGAGCAGAACAGGCATATTAATGAAGTACACTGCTAATGGGAGCAGCAGGCATAACGGGAGAGGTCTGCTGTGCCATGTGAATCACCTTCATGGGCGGGGATTGAACTTGCACTGAAGCGGCTGCGGCCAGCTTGCAGTGCTGCATTCTAACCCATTGTACCACCAGGGAGGGCCTATCTGTGATAAACTTTGTAAAGAAAACCAAAAGGTGGAGTAACATATGAGTGAACAAATTCAGTATTGGTGAATAGATCTGGAAGAGAACTAGCTCCCCAGCCAGACCATGTTTCCACAGAAGCACATACTTCATTACACAGAGAATGTACCACACATACCTCCAGCTTACCTAGTATATTAAATTTTGAAAAAAATGAAGGTGATTTGAAATTGAGAAGTGGGAGGAGGAGCCCTACGAGGTAAAAAGGCACAGTTTTGGACTTATTCCACCACTTTTCAAACTGTTGGAGTCCTGTGTCATTGGCGATGAAAATCATAGAGTTGTTGTCAGGATGGCCACCACTCCCAGCACTGGGGCAAATCACTGTAACAGGAAACCATCAGATTAGAGAAGAACACAAAGAACAAAGAAATGACTCCCTGAGAGGCTGACATTTGCTCTACCAACCTCAATTTTTATGATGACTACTAAGTCTCTACATTAAAACACACACACACACACACACACACACACAGATTTAGGACACATCAAGAATATTTTACTTATAAATAATTAAGGGTGGGCAAAATTCAAAGGGATATTTTCTTAATTTCTACTGGATTTACAAAAATATCTCACCAAATATCCATTGCTAGAGAAAAAATATTGGGCTAAATGGTATTATCTATGCAATAATATAAATAGCACTCAGTGTAACTGTTTGTTGTGTTAGTAACCCATACAAAGGCCAAACAATAGGCTTCTTCTCATAATAAATAAAATATATGGGTTTGGAATAAAAAGCAAACAATCTTGAAACAGCTGTCATAGTATTGACAAAACCTAATTATTACTTATAACCTAAGAATCATGAATTCCAGTATTCTAGTGTAATTCTCCTGGAAGTTTATCACCATCTTAAGATTCCAGATGATATCCAGAGAATTGGATAGTGAGAAAAATTTATTTTACCTAATTCCAATCTGTAAGCAGCAAATACCAGAACAAAACTCATTTTCACAGTTTTTTTTTTTTTAAAGATTTTTTTATTTATTATTTGTGCATACAGAACTGGGGTACAGGCCAGAGGCTCAGGGGCGGTGAGAGGCTTCACCAGAGACAGAGTGGGGAACAGAACAGGCAGATCCACGAAGTACACTGCTGAGGGGAGCAGTGGGCGGGTCAGGAGAGGTCTGCCACACCATGTGGTCACCTCCGGGGCAGGCGGGAATCGAACTCATGCGGAAGCGGCTTTAGATTCTCAGTGTTGTGCTTTAACCCGCTGCGCTACCAGGGAGGGCCCATTTTCACAGTTTTTAATTTCATTTTTGTTAATAATTAAAAACTTCTGTTAATTTTTTCTTTGTAAAGAATACTTTAAAAATATTACTAAAGAAATCCTATTAAATATTAATAAACTATTTTCACCAATTGACATCAGCCATACAAATTTATTTTAATAACTAAACTAATTAAAGGAAGCTTTTCTCAGAAATTTAAATTATTTTTAGCCAAACCTTTGAGTTATTTTTCTATATTTACTAATCTTTACTCACTATTAGGAAATTAATTGTTCCATACAGTACAAGTCTTTTTATCCTAAATATTAGTAACCAAAATAATAAATGTTTAAACTAAGTTAACAAGCTGAGAACTATGATTCTAAACTTCCAAAACATTAAGCAGCAGTTCTTAAAAATACTAATTAGTCATAGGCAAATAAGAATATTATAGACATAAGCTAAAACTGTGAATTGTAGAACATGGGTTAAATTTTGTTAGTTCAAGTATCACAACCTTTTGTGAAGTTTTTTAAAAACATTGATTTAAAATCTTTTTTAAATTTAATAGTAGCTAAGTTAGCATAATATTAACGATTATATGTCATTTCCTAAAAGATTCAGAGGTTCTATCTTAAAATCTTTTTGAGGCCCTCCCTGGTGGCTCAGCGGGTCAAAGCACTGCACTACAAAGCTTAAGCCACTTCCGCATGAATTCCATCCCCGCCTGCCCCAGAGGTGACCCACGTGGTTGGCAGACCTCTCCTGACCCGCCCACTGCTCCCCTCAGCAGTGTACTTCCTCGATCTGCCTGTTCTGCTCCCCACTCTGTCCCTGGTGAATCCTCTCACCCTCCGCATCTCTGGCCTGTATCCCAGTTCTGTATGAATAAATAAATCTTAAAAAAAAACCCACAACTTTTTTGAAACAAGTAAGGGATAAAGAAACAAGCTAAACTCTAAGTAGCAAACTACTTACCAGGGTTGCTATCATTGGTACTTAGTATAGCATCTGTGTCATTAATGTGATGAATAAAATCTAAAAGTTAAGGAAAAATAGAGAAAGACACAAAGTCAATCAGACTATAGTCTCTTAATCTATAAAATTTTTTTAAAGATCTACTGTGTTATTATCAAATACATGAAGTCAAGATCACTGTACTTAATAGTTATCACTGCTTCATTTTTTTGGTTTTCCCCACTTACAGAAGTAGTATAAGTATTGCTTTTATAATCCCACTATTGAAATTTTTTTAATGGTGAGATTTTAAAAATAATTTTCCCCTTCAGGCTGAATTTAGTTAAAATCTCTGGAATAAAGTAATATATACAATTTTGTCCACATATATTCTACAATATATTCATATAGTTATATTTATATTCAGATAGTTATATCTTATATTTATATTAATATAGTTTATATTCATATAGTTATTTATATTCAGATAGTTATATTTTATATAGAGTAAAATTCTAAGCTCACAAAAGGGGAAAATAAAACAATAATCTTAGCTAGGAAATCACTTAAAGTTTTCGCAAAGTACAGTACATACTTTATAGATCAAGAGTTCTACAGTAATTATTGCCCACAAGCACCACTGCTATAATAAAGGAAGTATCAAACTAAAAAGCACAGGCAGATGCCTGAGCATTCACATTCTGTAGAAATCAAAGAATGGGTAAAGAATGCATCTTTTTCCTAGCAAAAGCCTGGGGAAATTTACTTAATTCTGTTTGATGTTCACTTTTTATAACCATAGCAAGCATTAAATAAATGTATTTAATGTTCTGAAACATAAAATGGTAAAAATGATTGGTTAGGTTTTAAAGTGGTAAAGCAAATTAAATATGTCATTTACTCACTTTCATTATGTGCAATTCAACATAAAAGCAGTTTAGCGCTCTAGGATTTACATAATAGTTATCTTCAAAGGTTATTAGTGACAAGATTGGAAGTTATGAAATTTATGTAATTTCTGATGCCAAAGATTTACATAAAGGCTTGAAGCCACAAGTACAATGGCTTGAGCAATGTTTCCCCAAATCCATATCCACAGGAACCTCATAATGTGATATAACTTGGAGATAGGGTCTCTGCAGCTACAAGCAAGTTAAGAAAAGGTCATACTGAATTAGCTTAGATCCTCAATTCAGTGACTGGTGTCCACAATAATAACAGGGAAATTTGGACATACACATTGAGGAAAGATGGCCATGTGGAGAGAAACAGTAACTGGAATGATACAGCTACAAGCCAAAGAAAGCTAAGGATTTCCACCAACCACCAGAAGTTAGGATATGGAAGGATTCTTCCCTAGAGGCTTAAGAAAGAAGAGAGTCCTACTAAAGCTTCAATTTTGGACTTCTAGTCTCAAGGACTGAGAGAGGATAAATTTCTTTGTTCTAAGCCCAAAAGTTCTTGATAATTTGTCATACAATGGCTCACAAGGATGATATGAGAATGACTATAGACCAATTTCTCTTATGAAAAGATGTAAAAGTTCTAAATAAAATACTAACCCAAATGCTTAAGAAAGTAAACTGAATCCAACATGAAGTTTAAAATAAACATCTTAAGTAATAAAGTAATTTAATTTTATCCCAGAATAAAAAATAACGATTTAACTATTACAACATATTTTACATAAAGAATTTGAGGGGATATTCTTTAAAAATTAGTTTTTGGAAATGAACACATAGCTACATAAGGTAATAATCAAATAAACTGAATCAAGTATATTTTCTAGAATTATAAATAATACTTTTTACATTATTACCCCAGATCCAGAATTTAAGACAGAAACAAAACATGAGTTTTATATATAAACATAATTCTGTTAAGCAAGCACATGATATGGATACTTACTAAAGATAAACTTCCCAGTATTAAAAAGAAAATTAGACATAAGGACCCAGTAAACTATCATTGCTCCAATGAGGGACACTAAGGAGAAAAGGAGACTTGACCATTGCCCAAAGGAGCCAAAATAATGTCTGCAGACTTCTGGATATTCCCAGGTAGTCGTATCCACTGTTGCTAGATAAAAATAAAAAACAAGAATAAAATGAGATATTAATCATATATTCCATATTTATAACTTGTGTTCCCCAAATTTACTCAAAATATTTTAGCAAAAGATTATGGGTCTTCTATTGTCAGAAATTAGACTACATTATGAAATAGTAAAATATTATAGAACACATGAAACACTAATTTTCCATTATGAAAGTAAAACATTATAGAACACATAAAAACAAAGCTAACGAAATAGCAGATATTCTGAGAAATAAACTGGAGTCATAATATTTTATAAATAATAAAAGCAAAGGCTTGACAAAATCATCAGTAAGAGATAGGACATTATCCAGCAATATCTGGCATAATCAACTATCTTGAGTCTTTATACCACATACCAATTAAACTTCAGAAAAATGAAGTTAAGAACTTAAAGATCAAACCAATAGAAGTTAGAAGACAATATGAAAAAACAGAACCTGAAAGAACTCAAGAAATATAAATTACAATGGAAAAGGCAGATCTAAACAAAAGATAGATACAAACAAACTCATATAATATAAAAGCCATTCAAATACTGAATAGGAAAGAAACTGACAAGAAATAATAAA